GCCCGGACCCCGCCCGCGCCCCCGCTCACCTCGTGCGGGTCGATCTCGTACAGCGACAGGTTGCCGTCGTACATGTCGGACGGACACGGCGACCCCATCGGACTCTCGCACATGGACCTGTTGACGACGCATGCACTCAGTACCGAGCTAGATGTGGAATGCAGTATGGCGATAGCGCGCAGTACTCACGGGGTAGAGTGCATGGCGTCGGGCTGGCTGAGTGCCAACACGCCATGTTTCAGACTGAACAGTAGCGGTACTCCGTCGCACAGCTCGGCTCCTAACAACTTGTCACCTTCTGACGCTACGTCTATGTAATCCACTTTATCGTTCGACATTGTAGCTGCAAAACCATGTTATAATATTACGCATTGGACGCATGATAGGTCTTATGTATGGTCCACGACGCGTTATTTGCCGAATGTATGCAACCTACACAACACTTACAAATCTTGTTTATTAACCATGATAATTGTCCACGAAGCAGCAACGTTGCGTCACTTACTAATAATACAAATCCACCTATCGTCCTTTGTAGATTGCATGCATTTGTCAAATGACACGTGGACAGTAAGCCTAACATTATAGTATACTAGCTTTTACCCGCGGCTTCGCTCGCGTCACAAAAGGATAAAAAGTAGCCTATGTGACATATACCAATACACACAGCGCCATCTATACCAATAATTTCGTTTTCGTCGTATAATCTTATTTACCTACATCACTTTTCGGAAGAATGCCGTACCTGGTAAGTAATTGCACTTTTGAAACCCTTGCTAGCCTGCCTATTGAGTATCTAGTAGATTAGATAGTGACGAACTAGTCAGCTGGTTTCCGATTTCATTCTCAGTACACATGGAAAGAGATAGCAATTGTTTTCATTGACTAAGCGACGCATCGCGCGTAATTTGTGAACCACATTATGCAGAATGTAGTCAATGTTTACTTAATTACTTTATGTAATTAACTGGTCCGGGGTACGAAATTTCTTCACTATTGTAATCTGTAAACATAACACTACCTCCGATTAAAGCCGTGGCATAAAATTATAGAGCACCTTATATATGTATAATTGTATATTTATAATTTTAATTTTGTCTTAGCTGTTACCTATTAAGTGAGACGTCAGTATTCGTGTGGATCTGTAAGTGGCTCAACGTTATTATATTTCTGTTAAATTTGTGTTATGTAGGTTTTGATTCACCATTGAATAAATAAATAAATAAAAAGATTTGGCTTAATATTATGAGTGTAGAAGTAGATACTGACTGGAGACGAGCGCGATGTACTTGGAGGTGTAGAGCATGGCGCGCTGCGGCAGGGGCAGGAAGCGGGGCGCCTCGTCGGGGGCCCGCGTCTCCTCGGGCGCCGCCGCGGACGCCAGCGGGGCCGCGGGCGCCAGCGGGGCCCCGGGCGCCACGCCGCGCGCCAGCACCAGCCACGACACGCGGGGCGCGCCGGCGTCCTCCACGCACACGTGCGCTGCGGGACGGTACACCCGGCTCATACGACATAACCATTTACTTGGATACAAACAAAAACATGTGTCGCATAAATCATTATTCTGAACAAATTAATGATATTACCAATGCCATATCTCATTTCTGGTGAGCGAGCAACATTGACAATGGCGATGAGTAGAAGCAGACCGTTGTTTCCACTCGCTCTAACATCCAGGGCCATGATCTCGAGACTGTTTGGGTCACCTGTAACATACACCAACTAAATAAATGTAGATACGAGACATTATAAGCTGTGTGTGTGCGTGCGTGCGTGTGTGCGTGTGTGCGCGTCCCCCAGCGCGCGCCGCAGCGAGTGCTCGTGTAGCTGTGTGTGTGTGTGTGTGTGTGTACCGTGCGGCGGGAGGTGTGTCCGTGTGTGCGCGTCCCCCAGCGCGCGCCGCAGCGAGTGCTCGTGTAGCTGTGTGTGTGTGTGTGTGTGTGTACCGTGCGGCGGGAGGTGTGTCCGTGTGTGCGCGTCCCCCAGCGCGCGCCGCAGCGAGTGCTCGTGTAGCTGTGTGTGTGTGTGTGTGTGTGTACCGTGCGGCGGGAGGTGTGTCCGTGTGTGCGCGTCCCCCAGCGCGCGCCGCAGCGAGTGCTCGTGTAGCTGTGTGTGTGTGTGTGTGTGTGTACCGTGCGGCGGGAGGTGTGTCCGTGTGTGCGCGTCCCCCAGCGCGCGCCGCAGCGAGTGCTCGTGTAGCTGTGTGTGTGTGTGTGTGTGTGTACCGTGCGGCGGGAGGTGTGTCCGTGTGTGCGCGTCCCCCAGCGCGCGCCGCAGCGAGTGCTCGTGTAGCTGTGTGTGTGTGTGTGTGTGTGT